AAAAGTTTGTTGAAAGCACTGTAAGGTGCCTTGTTCAGAATTGTCTTTTATTCTTCAAAACTAAATTCACCGAGACTAAAGCTTGGTGATGCATGTTGTCAGCTTGGGTTTGTTAGCTACTTGAACTATCCGAGGTGGCTGCAAACAGCACACGTTAAATCAATATTTCAAAACATAACGCTTATATTTCATTGTCTAAAATTATACGGAAGTTCTCCTAAACCTGGTCGACTGCGCAATATTTCACTATGCAGCTAGAGAACTTACTCAGTAATTGATGCTGGACATGGAGAAAGAAAGGAATTTTTATCCGCAATCAATGTTCTGTGAACCCAGCTTCTTAACGATGATCAATTATGTCCAATCCATCCAGAAATCGCTCGACACAGGTTATATGCAAATTCTTCTTTTCAAAGCCATTTCACATCATGAAGTGGCTCATTCAATCGAGCTTTCCAGAAAGCAATTTGTCATGAACACCAGATGGTAGCAAGATCGATACATATGAGGATTCATGGCCTATTCCAGACGGACGTAAAGAGTAGCCGGTAACACGGTCATGCATCTATCCTAGTGTTATAATTACACAAGAAAAATCCGGGTCGAGGCGAGTTATCTATTCGGAGAACAGTATCAGTTAACGGTAAATGAGATCACATAGAACGAAACGCCTCATCTGGAGCGGATCATCATAATTCCGACAAGCACGCAGAATAATTGAAGGAACAGTTCGACGGCAGATTTGTATTTTTTAGTTACAGTTTTGAACACGCTAATTTGCCTGTAGGAGGTCTTGTTCATATTTGACCTTTGTGAAAAATCGACAATCACATTCTGTTGTGCAGTCCAAACATACTACTCAGATATATGAGTCGCACCTCAAAATACTAGTACTTATTTAATTTTTCAGCATTTCCCGAATCCAGTGGCGATATTTGAACGGCGGTACGGTGTCATACAGTAATGCTGAGTAACTGGGTTTCACAATTAAACCATCAGTTCAGACATCCCTGCTTGCTGTGGTGTTGTGCAAACATGAAGATTAAATTTCATATTACAGTTGGTTTTCGTGGGAAAGTTGCGGGTGGGACATAAATCAATGCGTACAAATGCGTGAGAAAAGAATGAGGCTCAGGGTATATGACGACGCGGATCAGCTTACCAGTACACGATACATAACGGGTGAATTTCTCCACAGATTTATTCCGGTGGGAATGATTCGGTCAAAAGAAGTGTTTTCTGAAGTTTAAGCTTGAGTTCGGAGGGTCATCATAAAAATGATGGATAAGATTGTTGTAGATTTTTAAATCCGAATTTTCACTGGCATTGACGTGTAACTCAAAAGCCTTATTTACCCGTTCAATAGACGAGTAACGGAAAACATGAATGATGCCTAGTTTTCCTCGATATGACACCTTGAACTTCCTTAATGGTGCCGAAAGAATTGTGGAGGAGCAATAGAGTGAGTTTGAGACAACTCATTGGAAATAAATCAACATATAAACTCAAAACTGATGAAGAACAGTTTGGGCTTTTTAGTTCGAAAAGATACTAGCATCAAATGGCCCGCGGTGGATAATGCAACCAGGGAAGACCGATACTCGATTTTATTCCGTAATCCTTAATAAGCCCTGATTTGGGTAACTGAAAGGCGCGAACGGAAGGTAGACTAGTTGAAACCTGAGGGATACAAAATGTGCAAATACACTTAAACGGTTTATTCAATCTGTTCAAAAAATCCTCAAAAGTTTGAAGATTAACAAAAAGATCGTTTAAACCCTCATCAGTGAATACTGCCTTACGTATAGCCGCATCAGCAGCGTCTTTAATTGTAGTCCGAAAGAAGTTGGGGGAAAGGCCGCTGATATAAGTGGAGAAAAGAAACTATCGAATTTGAATAAAACCAGAATTGATACTTAAGAATTAATCTAATGTCTTCGACTGATCCCAAAATATAGCAGTATTAGGATTTATTTAAGCCACGTAATGTCCTCACATTGTAATCAGAAAACCAAGTATATGCGAACAAACGTGTTTTCCCAAATTCGTTCACAGATATTTGAAATAATATACGTGGTTGTGAAATTGTGTTGAAAATTCGATTGATCAGTAAATGATTTACATTGGATTGAGTAATTCGGAAACTGTTCAAAACGACAGATTGTCACATACAAAGTAGTGAAGGGGGTGTGGGAAGCTAAGAAATCATGTACTACCCTCTCTTGTTAAAACGCAATTCAATTGTGTTGCAAATTTTTATGGAGAATAAGGTTGAGTGAAATACATCAGAACTGGTACAAAGTAGGTGAGTGGGAACAACAGAACATCGTTATATCAGGGATACCAAAAATCTGAAATAAATAAATGAGTAACATTCAAACAAAATTTTTCCTGTTTGGATCATTGCATTGGCATACGCGCTGCCAGTTATCGGAAAAGCAGTGAAAAATTCACAGCATTATGCCCGGACTGACGACAAATATAATAACAGTGAACAGTGGCTGAGGTCAGTAAGAAAAATAATTGATTCAAATGCACGAATGCAAGAAGATGTTTTCCCAAAATATGAGGTTTTTGCTGCACTTCTTTATCCACTTGTATTGTTAATCACAGTTTGTTCTACACATTCCGATTAGCACAATAAAAGCCTTGTGTACACTATAATATTGGGAATGCACCATAAAAGACAAGGGATTCGAACGACAGTAGCTGGTCATTTTGTCGTGTGAACTACTGCACTCATTTTTTGATATCTGAATTTACCTGCGCTGCCTATATATATGACAGTTTTGTAAACAACGGTGTTGCTTGTTGTTTTTGTAGCTCGGGTGGTATAATTTAATGTTCAGTTGTTCGCCGAGCTTGGCAATTGTATTGCAAACGTTTCATCACCAA